ATGGGAAATATATTAAAGGAGAGGCAGTGGGTGGGAGGACAGAGATCCAGCCTTGGAGTCAGGAAGACCTGGGTTCAAAAGCCCCACTTCTGACACCTGTCAGCTGTGAAACAGCCCTGGATTTGGAGTCAAGAGGACCAAGGTTCAAATTCCAACATGTGACCTTATGTCATTTAACCTCCCAGAGCCTCACTTTCCTTATCTGTAAAATGAAGGGGTTGGGCTAGATGAGCCCGAAGGTCCATTCTCCATTCCAGTTCCCCACTTAATAAATAGGTGAAGTAAAGGGAAGAGGGATACATATATGAACTAAAAATAAATAAATAAATATAACAAGCAAAAATAAGCAAGCAACCCTCTTGACTTACTCAGTTCCTTTAATGCAAAATTACATCAAAATCTGGGAACAATTGGAACAGAGATGCAGCCTATGACCTCCCTGGACAGTTTACCTTATTTTGGGATAGTTCTAATTGCTAGTAAATTTTCCATAAGTGAAACCAAAAGCTGATTTTCTGTAACTTTCATTCATCGCCCATAGTTCTGTCTTGAGGGCCAGGTAGAACAAGTACCTGTTTCACATTAGGGCTCTGTCAACTAAGGATTTATCCTAAGCTTTTCTGAACCCATTTATATTTTAAGCCTGTACCACCTCTAGGGGCAAATAGTTTCCTAAGTTTATTACCAGCTTTTAATAGAAGTAAGCCTTCTTTTGTTTGTCGCAAAACCACCTCTTTCAGCCTTCAAGAGAGACCAGACCACTCTCCCCACCTTGACAGGAATACCACATGTTGACTAATAAGGTGAGAAGGTGGAGAAACGAAGAGCTTTGAAAATTTAGAGTTATAAATCAATGGAATTAAAAAAAAAAAAAAAGAAAGAGAATTCCTGGATCAGGGATGATTCCCACGGAGAATTCATTCCTGAAGAACATAATCATGAAATTTTTGGTAGATGATAATAAAGTTTTCTTACATTTAACTGTTTTCTCCTTTCAAAAGTTGTTTCTCATTAAAAAAATTAAAATTGACTACAACAAATGGTACCCTTCGACTCTTCTATTGCTCTCGTCTTCTTCCACTGCCCCCAAAGATTTAACATGTAGCACTAAAGTCAATCAAATTGATTTCACAACTAAAAGACATTTTCCCTGATGGTCCTCCCATAAAGCACACACTGATAAGCTAACAGCCCAATCCCAGAGCTGGAAAGGAACTCAGCGGCCATCCAGTCCAATGCATATCTGAACAGGAATCACCTTTAACACATCTGTAAAATGAGGGAGAGCTATATCAGATGACCCGTCAGATTCCTTTATGTGATCCCTATGTCCAGTCAACACTTGAAGACCTGTAGTGAGGGGAAAATCCAAGACTTCCCAATGGATAACTAATGGTTAAAAAAGGTTTTCCTTATAATTTTCAACTCCTCATTCTGTCCTCTGGGGCTCCAAAGAATGAGTCTCATCCCTCTTCCACATGACAGCTGTTAAATATCTGAAGATAGTTATGTCCCCTCTCTTCTTCAGGTTAAATAACTCCAATTCCTTCCAACAGTTCTTTGTATGGCATAATCTCAAGGTCTCATCCTGGTTGGCCTCCTCAGGACACCCCTGCTTATCAATGTCCTTTCCAAAATGGCACCCAAAACATATTTCAGACATGGCCGAGCCAGGGTAGAATACAAAAGGACTACTGCTTCCCATGTTCTAGACACTATGCCTTTCTTCAAGCAGCTTAAAACAGTATTATCCTTTTTGGCCTGATATATAGCAATCAATCATTCCATCAACAAGTATTTATTAAACTTCCGTGCCAGGTACTATGCTATGCACTGAGATACAAGGACACAAAAGAAACAATGAAGGAAGCCCTGCCCTCAAGGAGCTCACTTCAATGTGATTTATCCACAACAAACCTGAGTTAAATACTCTTAAGTATTAAGACTTTCCTTTTTCCAGATGAACAAACTGACTTTCAAAGAGGCTGAATGATTAGCTTGTGGTCAGTCATATGGCTAGGAAATGGTAGAGCTGACAGGTTTACGCCTCCAAGTCCAATGTGTTTCCATCCCATTATCCTGATTCCTTCTCAGTCTTGCGCCATAATTTACTTTTCTGGTTATGGCAACTGTAAAACTGTGTTTAAAAACACGGCCAAGTACAATGTGTTTTTAGTTGTCTCAGGCAACATTTGGCACTACATGAAGAAAAAAAAAGGTATCACATAGCTTTAGGTAGAAATTCCATTAAGCGGGTCTTATGCTAAGGGGATGTCCATATTTCTAATAATAACAAGAGTACACATGTGGAATACATTTATATAACGAAGATAATATGGGAGAGCCTCACAGACATGTTGAAGGGCTTAGTCAGTGGACACAAAAGTGCTTTTAAAGGTTTACTGCTAACTGCTAAAAAGGCCTTCATGAATAGTGTGTCAAAACCACAAAGATTTTTTTTTCCCAAAAGTCCCACAAGCTTTCTGTTAAAATCCATGGCAAATGGAGTGTTAGGAAGATGGTCTGCTCAAGTCTGCTAAATATATGTATGTATGTATGTATGTGTGTATGTATGTGTATATATGTATATGTGCATATATGTATGAGTATATGTGTATATGTATGGGCATATACACACATATGTATATGTGTGTCTATGTGTGTGTAGGTATATGTATGTACATATGTGTGTGTATATATATATAATAAAAATGAAAAGTCTGCTATCCAAAATTTGTTAATAAATGGAAACGAAAAAACAAATTGAAGGAGCAACTATAATGTTCTCTCAAATGCAAATGGAAACTCATTTTCAAAAGTCAATGTCATAGACTCTTCATGGAAGCAAAAAACTGTTAATAAAATGGGTGCCCATCAGTTGGCTGAACAAATTACAGTTTGTAAATTTAATGGACTGCTATTGCAGAAACAACAAAAATTAAGAACTCGGAAAAATGCAAGATCTGTATGAAGTGAGAAAGAGGCAAGAAAATTGAATCAAGAGAGCAACATATATAACGACACCTATATACAATAATAAATGATAACATCACCAAAAAACTGATGGTGAATCTGATTACAAATCTCAGTCCTGGAGAACTATTAAAGAAACACACCTACTTCTTGGCAGTGAGGTGTGAACTCTGGATGTGGAAAGTGGTATACATTTATCAGGTAAGTTATACCTCTTACACCTCTGATTTTTGGAATCCTGAGGAAGAAAAGGACCATCTTGGTAAAGTTGGAGTAAATTAAATTCTCCTTAAAGAGCTGGTGAGTTCAGCAGAAAAGGGAATGTGCAAAGGGTCAGGTTGGACTTCTACCCCTAGCTATTTCCCAAACGAAAAAGTCAAAGTTCTAGAAAGAGTCAGTGAGATAGGAGAGGGCCCAAAAAGCTCTGAGGATTCAGATACATTCACAGTTTTGCCAAGTGGAGTAATATATCCGCCTTTCTTACCACCACCACCACCCCCACCATACACCTATTCTGGATAAATTGTTTTCACTGCTTTTTAACTCAGGAATAATACTTAACTCTCATCTTCGAGGATGGCTGAACATCAGAATGTCTATAAAAATGCTTCTTTACAACTGCAATCATTAGTATAATCTTGTTCATGACATCAATACGGACAAGGTCAAATCACATCCCTAAAATGTAAGAACTTCCTCACATTGGGAAGCTTTATGAAAGTCAATTCCCTGCCATTAAAGTGTTTCAGTATAGGCTGAATGAACACTCATAGTGACCACTTTTGGAAGATATTGTAGATAGAACTGATATCACAGGGGTCTGGGTTTGGGCTAGGCTCCAGGGGTGGGGGAACGTGCGGCTTCGAGGCCACATGTGGCCTCCTATCCTTTCACTAAGGGGATTTGTTCCGGGAAGTTTGGATTCAGTCAAAGGGCCAAACTTGAGGACCTAGAAGGCCACATGTGGCCTCGAGGCCACAGGTTCCCCACTTCTGCCACTAGACCATCTCTACCATCCACTCTAACTTGAAGTTATGGGAGTCTGTTTCTTAAGGCTTTATCAAAATCTGATATAGTTTTTAGAGTAAGATGGGAACCTACAATACCATTGAGTCCAATTCCCCCATTTTACAGATGAAGAAACTGAGGCAGAGAGATTAAGTGACTTACCCAGGATAACATAATTAATATCTGGAGGGATTTGAACCCCAGCTTTTTGAGTTTTCTATCCTTTTCTCATGATATTATTAAGCTAGAAATGAACATTCATTCTGTCTCCCACTATTAATTATAAAAGGTTACCACCATATTCAGAAACTAAAAGTCTTTTGGATTTTATACATCTAAACCAGGGATGGGAAACCTGTGGCCTCAAGACCACATGTGGCTCTCTAGGTCCTCAAGTGTGGCCCTAGACCTTTTAAACCTCTTCAAACCCTTAAAAGAATTGATATCACAGGGGTTTGGGCTAGAGTCCTGGAGTGGGGAACCTGTAGCCTCCTATCCTTTTATTAAGGGGATTTGTTCTGTGAAGTTTGGATTCAGTCAAAGGGCCAAACTTGAGGACCTAGAAGGCCACGTGTGGCCTCGAGGCCACAGGTTCCCCACCCCTAATCTAAACTAACTATTTTATGAAAGATAATCAATTCATTACACAAATAATCTCTAAGACAGCCAGGATATATGTGTGAATGTATACATATGTACTTATATGAATATATATATATATATATGCATATATATACACATGTATGTACATATAAATATACATACCAAACATATTTGCCAGATATAATATGCAACAAGTGTTTAATCTGCATCCAACAATGACAATGATGATGGATTTTTTTTTCTTTCTAATTCCCTATTCCTTCTCTCTCTGCCAATGATCCCTACCCCATTCTATCCCTGTCACAAGAAATTCAGTAACACATCATGCTAAAATGTGAATGCTTCTATCTGGGCCACTCAGATCAAACCAATCCAGGTCCACAGAGGAGCTTTTCCCCTTTGGGGGTTAATCCTACCTTGATTGAGGTAGGTCAGAGTTTCTTCATGAAGTTTCACAGCTGGTGATGTGGCTGCACAGAGCACATACTGAAATGGGGGCAGTTTGGCTTCATTCTCAGGGGACAGCTGAGGTTCCTCCTGCTTAAAGATTGGCAGTGCAAGGACATCACTGAAACATATAGTTAACACATGTGTCAGCAAAATATCTAAAAGAAGAATCATTATTTTTGAGAAGGAAAAAAAAAGCCTAGATAACTTATGGCATTCTTGTAGAAGTAACATGAGATAGACATCAATGCGTCAGTCATCTATCTCCCCATTTCCTCCACTCCCCTTCCTGCCCACCTCCCCCCCCAAAAAAACCTTAAACCTTTCGAGAAACTTCTGCAATTGTAGAAATTCCTGTTTGAAACTTAAACCTACTACAAACTGTCATAAATATTACATACAGAGGTTTAAAAGTACAGTAAAAAACAGAATAATTTGTGGCATCTCTTTCTCATGATAGGACACCACGTATAGAATTATAAGACACTTATTCTGTAAATCTAGAGGACAAAAATTAGGATTTTTTTAGAAGAGCTAAAAAAAATTCTCCCTCTAAGATTAATAAAATATTAATGTTGGAGGCAATTTTATGACATGTCACAAGTCCTGGTCAAGCATACAATCTGTTACAATGAATAGCTATTTATGCACTACATGAAAAAGTATTAAAGTATCTTTTTAAAAAATGAAACCTATTTCATCTCTATAGCCTTTATTGTGCTGAATACATCATTTACCCTGAGAGGATCTACAGCTCTACACAAGTACTGAGATGAAGAATCCATCCCAGCAACAGAGAGCAACTGGATAATAGGTAACTCCTCTTCTTTCAGCACCATATTAATCTCTCCTGAGTTTACATTCAAGCAAGAAATCTAGGTTTGACTTTTTTTCCTTAACCAAATGGAAATTTCTTACCAAATGGAAAGACCTCGAGATTTCTCCCTTCCTCTTATTCAAAAGAAATCCCCACTCACAGGACCTCAAAAGATAAAAAATGGGATGGAGGGTAGGAAGAATGGCTCCTAATAAGCTGGGCAGTACAATTAGTTGTATTTAGAACTGACTGGATGGCCAGCCTCAAAAGAGTACTCATTAGAGGTTCACTACAGAGTTGAAAAGGTCTCCAGTGGAATACCATGAATCTCTGCTCAGTTTGTGCTAAGAAACATTTTTATCAGCAACTTGGACATAAGCATAGACGGTATGCCACTCAATTTGCAGATGACAAAAATCTGGAAAGGCTAAGACAATACACTGGATTAGAATCAGACTTCAAAAAGGTCATGACAAGCTAAAATCTAATAAGAAATTATACAGGGATCAATGGTAAAATCTCACATGGGTTCAAAAAAATAAACTTCAAAAGTTCAAGATAGGGCAGTGGTGACTGGATTATCAGTTGACGTAAAAAATTTCAGGGTTCCAAAAAAGAATTTCATGGTTTTAGTGCAGTGTTAAATTCAATGAGCCAACAATGTGATATTGTAGCCAAGAAAATTATAGTCAAAGAAGGTGACAGTCATGATATATTCAATCCTGATTAGACTACATCAGCAAAATTATGTTTTGCTCTCAGCACCACATTTTAAGGAAGTAAATTGATAAACTAGAGTGTGTCCAGAGGAGGGCAACCAGGATAGATATAGCTCGAGTCCATGTCACTAAAGTGAAGAAAGCAGAAAGCAGGGGTGCTCAACTTGGCAAAGATTTAAGCTCAACTTGCCATGATAATGGCAAGTATCCACATCAGTCAAGCATTTATTAACCACCTACTATGTGCCAGGTCCTGTGCTAAGTGCTGGAAAGAAAGGTAAAAGACAGCCCTTGCTCCACGTGAAAAAGCAGCCTTTTTCTGCCTTGTCCCATTAGACAAAACTAGTTGGAAAAAGAAGCTTCAAAGAGGCGAATTTAGGCATGCCATAAACTTGCTAATCACAGTGTTCTCTCCAGTGTCTCCACAGCTGCCAAAAGAGGTAGTGGGCTTCTCTCTCTCACAGGACATCTTTAAAACAAAGGCCAATGACACCTTGGTGTGTATGATGTTAGAGGGGAATCTTGCTCCAGTTCAAGCTGAGCTGGGTGGACTGAGATCCCTTCTAATTCTGAGATTCTAGAATTAGTCTGGGTTATGACTGAGGCATGGAAAAATCCTGACAATATGAATGGCCTGCAAGAGAGAGACTCATTAAAGTCTAATAAATTATGAAGAATAAAGGAAGTAGGAGCCAAAAAAAATACCAGTCCCCTTATCTTGATAACCACTCTACCCCCCTCCCCTTCTCTTAATATGCTTTACATAATAAATCAGATTAGCTTATCCTGGATCACTATAAAAATTGAATAAATACCAAAGTCACTGGGACAATCTGTTCTCCGTCTAACACAATAAACTTGTGTCTCTAAAATACATAAACATTGTACACACCCCGCCAACATCTAGCTAGTTCCCTGAAGGAAAATATGGGTTTGAGTACACCTCAAAAATCCTTTTTACACCTGCCCTTCTGTTTTCCACTGCCCAGTGAAGCCAATATTTAGCTCAACTTTCAGCTTACTAAAGAGCAAGGCTGCCCCCTTTCCTTACACTAAACCTCAGGTGCACAAATACGTCTGTAAATAGCTATCTGGGAACATGCAAAGTGTGCACTGGCCCTTCTAACTTCAGTGCTTTTCATATTTGCCCACATCATATTAAGTTAATAATCCATGTGCTTTGGTGTTAAAAAAAAGGGGGGGGAGGGGAGGGAGAAAGAAAAGAAAGTGGTTGACTTGTCACTCAACACTAAAGTCACTCATGGAAGGGTATTTGTTAACAAGACAGTTATCCTTATTTGCAAAGAAATAAAAGTTGCCCAGAACATCGAACATTAAATGAGGAAAGAGACTAAAGGTTCCTGCTTAAGGCCAACCTGAGTAACTTCAACATTACAGTATAGTTGCTAGAGACAAGACTCTTCCCTTGAATACATCCTAAGTCTGGGTGAACCATGGCCTTCTCTCACTTCAATTTCTAGGAGAATTATTCAATCTCCTAAAAAGGGGGAGGGGAGGTTATCAAATAAAAGACTGTTGACCAATTGCTTTGATTATTTTTGGATCAAAAAGCACTACAATAAACCTTTAGTCTTATAGTTTGCTCTCTTTCTGAAACTCTACTGAACTTTTCATTGTAGCCAAGCTGAAATGTTTCTCAGCTGCCTCACAAGTGGGTGAATCTCTAACCTCTGAGGTAAACACGAAAACTGCTGATTGGCATGCCTCACAAAAAGAAGGCACAACATTTATTCCTTAATGAATTACTAGAGTGTAAGTACCTTGTGAGTAGGAATAATTTTAGTTTGTTTTCTCTTTCTCCCTATTCAACCACTTCCCCAATTTCCGCTGAGCTCAGGGTCTTAAGCTTTTTATGCCTTAAGGTTTAAAGTTTTAAGGTCAAGTTTTATGTTCCCAAATTTAATAATTAAATTTAATAAATTTAACTCAATTGAAATTTCTGGGATATGAAATTTAAGTAAGTTTCAATCATGTTTATACAAACCCACATTTTTAAATGTCCTAAAATATTTAATAATCATAGAATAGGTTTTAGATAAAATGGAAAAGTAAAGTCATGGAATATTATTTTAGTTCCTGGGGTAAATAGAAACTTAGTTTTCTCCAGAATGTTTTTTAAAAGGAATTCTAATGAATTGATACATTCTCATCAGAGCAGGGTCTATATTTAAATTACTCTGGGCTGTTATTGGCTCAATATCTTACCTTCACTGAATATCCCTGCAGAATTAATAAAGATCCACCATCATTTACCATCTTTCTAATAATTAAATCCAATGAATGATGAACTGACAATTTTAAAAAATTAACCCTTTCATTGCTCTTCCCTTCATTTCTAAAGGAAAGAGGAATAAAGGCTATTATATCAGAGTGGGGAGATTTGACAGGTATCACTTTGGATATTTGGGAGAATTCTCAAGGCAGGGAGGGGTACAAAAAAACCATCTAGTTCCAATAATGGTACAATCATTGCCTGGTAACCATTCCACAAATTCTGCTTTTCCCAAGCCTATGTTAACTGCCCCTTGGGTTAAATTAGGCACAGTTAATAAACTGTGACTAGGGTGGAAATAAGACAGGATAAAGCTGGTTCAAGCAAGTTCAGAAAGTGAAATTAGAATCCATTAACACTCAGCCTCCAATAGAAAAGGAGAAAAAAAATCCCACAGAACTGAGGGAAAAGGGGGTGTCCTACTTCCTAAAAGGCCAGTTTCTGAGTGTTTTGGTATTTTGCAAAACAGACAAGACTCACACTATTCCCTTTGAAGAACACTAGTCAAATCCCTGAAGAAGAAGAAAGATTTCCATCAAGGGAATTGGCCAGAGCTCAGGCAAATACATACAAGATTATCTGAGGGGGGTATCTGCTACGCTGTAAGCAGAAGAGATGCTTCCTGCAGCCCCAGCCCTTGGGTCAAACCCTCTACCCCCACCCTTGCCCCACCCCCATCTGGAATTCAAGTCTTCACCAGTGCAGATTCTAGAATTTGAAAACCAAGAACCACAAAACCCTTCTCAAATAAAAAGGCACAATTTGGAGGGCCAAGGAGGCAGAATGCATAGACCCTACCAGTATCATGTCAGGTTCCTGCACACTTCCTCATTAGGTGAACTATTTCCAAGGAAAAAGAATTCTGCCCTTTTCCACCCCCCCCACCTTACCCTCCTCCCTCCCCAACGCTGATTAATGTCAAGATAAAAAATTAGTCTAAAAAGCCAATTCTCTTCCTTCTCACACATATCAGTAAACTAGTTAATAAATCCTAACTTGTTTCATCTTAATCAAGTTGACAATAAATTAAGGTGATAGGAAGTATATCAACTTAATAAATATTAAGTGCCTGCTATGCGCCAGACACTGCGCAATTTTTACCAGAAACACCCACAACACAGGGATGGGGAGGATCATATTTGTAGAGCTATTAGGTAGATATTTCAGAGGCTACTACATATAATCCAACTGTCTTCATTTTACAGATGGCCAAATAGAAATCCAAGGTGATTACATGACTTGCCCAAGGTCACCGAACACAGTAAGCATCACAGGAGGGATTTGGGAATGCAACTTCTGCCTGCAAATGCCGATGGCGGTCACTAATGCTCCCAAAAAACCGGAACTATTGCCCGGCTCTTTCCCTCGCCTCCCATCTATTTCTCTCGCTCCCCTGGCTCCCTCCCCCAGTCTCCATAGGTCCGTCCTGTCTGTTTCGGTTCTCTTTCTTTTCCCTGCGCAAGGGTGTTTGTGTCCGTCTGTCAGCCAGTCTGCGGGGTTTTTGTTGTAAAAGTCTCTTCCCCAGAGGAGAGAAGGGCGAGCCTGAGTTCGGGGGAGCGCTGCCCGCGGCTGCTTGCATGTGCTCTCTCAGACACCTATGGCCTCTCCGACACCGCCAGACACGGCGTGCAGCCAGGCTGCGCCGGAGCCTCTCTCAGCCTGTCAGCCAAGGGTCCGAGCAAACTCAGACGGCGGCGCTCAGAGGTGATGGACGGGGGAAGGGGGAGCTCCGGCCTGGGAAGAGCCAACCGCGGGAGGGGAGCAAGCAAAATCACAAATTTAGCCCCCTCTTCCCTCCTCTCGAGGAATAGGGGTAGGGAGAGGGACAACGAAGGCTCTTTTTTTAAAAAAATATATTATGTTTTCTGATGTGATTTCCGGTGGTAGTGTCTTTTATGAACTAAATCTTCTCAAAACTGAATTATAAAGCTGTAACAACTCAGGCCATCTAGTCTACTCCTCCTTATTGGAAAACAGAAGATAGTGAGGCCCAGGGGACTTGACCAAGGCCACATAGGTAGGTAGTCCGCGTGCTAGGTAGGTATGGGCTTCCAGTTAGGGCTGGCACCAGCTGCAACCTCTTCTCCCAGGGGGCTCTCGGGGCCATGTGATCTCCCTCAGTTATCCTGCACCCCCACCACCCGCGGGGGGGGGTGTCTCCCTACGATTAAGTGTTACAAGGAACCCTCTCCCCTACACCACACCAGGGCAGGCGCAAAGTCCTGGGCTGCAGGGTTACTCGAAGGCATTGGCCGGGGCGGCAGCACCTTCGCAGAGCGCAGAGACCAGGGGACCGGCGATTGGAGCTTACCGCAAATAGCTGCCGGAGTTGTGCTGGTTGTAGTGCTCCGGCTGAGTGTGCCAAAACAGCATGGTTTCTTTCCTTCTCGAAACTCAGGAGAGCGCAGACAATATAGGGAGGGGAGTGTGCCTCACCGGTGGCCAGAGCCCCCGCAACAAAGCCGCTCCCACGAGGCAGCGGGGCACGGGGGCTGCAGCACGCGCTTTTATTTACCAGTGCCGAGGGTGGGGTTTGGGCGGGCTTTGAGGTCATTGCGGATGCCCTCCCCGCACCCTGCCCCTCCCCAGAAGAGGGGTGGGAAGGAAGGAGGAGAAAGGGGTGGTTCCCAGGTTCCGCAACCTAGGCTGACCCCGCCTGGCACACCCTGCGGCTGCGAGAGTGAGGTGCCCGGGAGACCTGGACCAGGAGGAAGGATCTGCTGCGGCCAGGCGGATCCCGAAGTCTTTTCCAAAGGAAGGGAAAGGGACCAGGTAGAGTCCCTTCTTTCCCAGGTTCTCTCTCCAAAGTCAGGCCCCTCTCTGGAATGTGGCCGGTTAGGAGTAGAGTGGGGTGACAGGTGTCTGTGTTGGCATAGGCAATGGAACAAGTTGGCGGTCCTCCCCTGGGAGTGATCTGGAATTTGAAAGAGGTGAGTGGAATGATGCGACCTTGTCACTCCAAGCCCCAAAATCTTTTACAGATTAAAATCACCAAACATTTATTAGGGGCTTATAATGGTTGAAGGCACTGTGCCTGATGCTGTGGATGCAAAAATAAAAAGTAATATAGTCTCTGCCTTCAAGGAGTTTACATTCACCAGAGGGATACCGCATGCATACAAAAAGTATAATACAAATTAGGCTGTGGGGTTTTAGGAGCAAAGGAAAAATACAGGCAATATATTAAAAAAAAATTTAAAGAACCATGAGCTAAGTGAAAGGGAAAAAATGCATGGAAGGACTTTCAGGAATGCTCTGTTCAAGTACGGAAAAATTTACTATTACTACTAATAATGATAGCCACGATTTATGTAGTTTTGCAGAAAAAGAAAACGTGCATTTATTACATTTTGTAGAGGAAGGAAGGAAACAAGCATTTATTGGGTTTTGCAGAAGAAGGAAGAAAACAAGCATCTATTAAGCACCATGATCCTCAAAGATACTTCATTTGATCCTGACAGAGAGTCAGAGGTTAAATAACTTACACGTGATCACACAGCTAATAAGCGTCAGAAACTGGATTTGAACTCAGGTGAGACCAGCATTCTAGGCACTGCACCACCCAGCTAACTCTACCCTCCATTTTGGGAAGTACAATGCTAAAGGGCAGTGATTTGGAACAAGACTGGAAAAGATAAGTTGAAGCCATATTGTGAAGTGTCTTAAATACTAAGCTAAGGAATTTGTCTTTTATCCCAAAGGCAATGAGGAGCTATTGAAGGTTTTTGAGAAGAGGAGTGTTCATGGTCAGACTTGTGCACTCGGAAGATCATTTTGGCAGCTGTGAGAAAAATCCATTGGAGAAAAGAGAAATTGGATGCAGGAAATTAGTTGGGTTATTGCAATCTTACATGCAAGAGGTAAGGAGGGCCTGAGCTAGGGTGGTGGCAATATGAGTGAAGAGAAAGAATGGAGTCCAAGAAATGTTCTATAGATAGAGTAGACGCAAGGGTTGGGGAAGGGAGAGAGAATGAAAAGTCAAATATAATTCCAAAGTTTCCAGCCTAGGTGCCTGGAAGGCTCATGGTGCCTTAAAGAAAAACAAGAAACTTGAAAAGGAGAGTAAGGGGTTGTTTTTTGTTTGTTTGGTTTGAGGTTGGGGTTTTTTTCGGGGGGTACTCAGTTCAGTTTGGGACATATTAATTTTGGGTATTGGTCAAATATCCCGATAGGGATGTCCGGAAGGCATTTGGAGATGAAGACAGGAAAAGTTAGTGAAGAGTTTAGGGCTAGTTATATGAATTTGGGAGTCACCTGAATAGAGGAGACAAATAAGGTAGTAAAGAAAGAGAAGGAGAGAGAGAGAGAGAGAGAGAGAGAGAGAGAGAAGACAAAAGCTTAAATAGAGCCTTGGATAACACCAACGGGGGGGGCAGAGTGAGATGGGAATAAGAATTTGTATTTTTGTTCTTTTCAGTCATGTCTGACTCTGTGACCTCATTTGAGGTTTTCTTGGCAAAATTACTGGAGTAGTTTGCCATTTCCTCTCCAGCTCATTTAACAGATGAGGAAACTGAGGCAAACAGAGTTAAGCCCAGAGTCATACTGCTAATAAGTGTTTGAGGCCAGATTGGAACTCATGAAGATGAGTCTTCCTGACTCCAGGCCCAGTACTCTATCTGTTGCACCACCTACCTGCCCCCTGGTAGGTACATCTGAGAGGTAGCTGCTATTATTGCCCCCATTATACAGTTGAGGAAACTGAAGCAGAGGTTAAGTGACTTACCAAGGTAAGTGGCTGAGCCCCCAGAGTGGGAGGATGAAGATGAACCATCGAAGGAGGCCAAGAAAGTACTCAAGCAGGTGGGAGGGGTAACAAAAAAGCTGAGGAGACAGAGTATCCAAGAAGATGATAAACTTGAAGAAAGCAGTTTCATTCGAAGGGTTGAGGGGGATGAGAATAATATGCTATCTGTAGGGGTATGCATGGTCTGATCATAAATCAGCTTTACCCAAAGACCTTTCCCTTTGGCTTTAGACATTTCCTTTTCAACAACCTAGTACCAGTCTAGTACCTTAACCAAAAGAATGTAAGGTCTCATTCTGAGCCCTGACCGTCCCCAGTACTACTCTGTATCAGGTGTGTGCATAGCACAAAAGTAGGTATAAGTTAGTCTCTATCCTAGGGACTAGAATTATAGGCGAGCAGTGTTTGTATCTGAGGTAACTGGCAACAACAGCAACTGGGACAAGGAGAGAAATATGTGCTCTGAGCAGTTTAGTACAAATTTGTTTGCTTGAGGTGGAGAGGGGTGGGCTAGCTCTTGGGAATGGAGATCTCAAAACTTCTCAAGGCTATGCTGGGAAGGCAGCTGGAGGGAGGGGGGACAGAGTGAAGGCGGTCACTTCCTTTAGTTTCCCATCTTCTAGTCAAAAATGATTGTATTAAGCACCTGCCCTGGGCTGTGATAAGCATTGAAGAAAGGCAAAAACAGTTCCTACCCTCAAGGAGGGCAATCTAGTGGATCTTAATGTAATATTGTTGCTAACTAGACACTCGACTCCCTTTTTTGTTTTTTGTTCTTTTTTACTCTGCTACTAGATTAGAGCGCTCTCAACCCCCTATGAATTTCAATACCTTATGGCCTAACCCTGCTAGGAACATCTTACTTTTGTTTGCATGTAAGATTGCAATAACCCAACTAATTTTCTGCATCCAATTTCTCTTTTCTCCAATAGATTTTTCTCACAGCTACCAAAACGATCTTACTTCAACTTGGAACTGTAGAATGTCAATGGAGATTATTTAGTTAAACCCCCTCAATTTATAGATGAGAAGATTAAGGCCAGGGTAGGTTAGAATGAAAGATTAAGGCTGAGAACTGGGAAGCAAATGTGGCAATCCTGCATCCCAGCTCCCTTATTTTATCTGTAGAAAAATTGAAGCATGACGAGAGGAAGTCACAACAACAAGCCTTTATATAGTGCTTTAAGGTTTACAATGCACTTTACAAACATCTCATTTTGTATTCAAGACAACCCTGGTAGGTAAGGAATATTATTAACCTTATTTTATAGATGAGGAAACTGAGTCAGGCATGGTTTAAATTACTGCCTAGGGTCACACTGCTAATAAGCTTCTGAGGCAGGATTTGAACTCAGGTCTTCCTGACTCCAGGCTCTGCACCTAATTACTAGGCCACCAGCTGTGAGAAGTAGTTTACCAAGAGCTCAAGATGTGATGACTCCTAATGTCTTCACTACTGTAGCACACTGTGCCATGTTTGAATTGTCTTAGGAAGATTCTGAAGATCACCTGGCAAGATAAGGTATCAGGCACTGAGGTCTTCAGCTGAACTGCCCCATATTGAACCTCTACTTCAGAGAGGGCAATTCCAATCAGCTGGCAGTGTTGTCCGAATGCCAAATGCAGAGAACTCACACAAGGCGAGTAAGTGCTCATACGGCGGTCAGAAGAAGCAGTACAAGGACACTCTCAAGGTCTCTCTGAAGAGCTTTAGTATTCATTGGGAGAGATGGGAGACACTGGCACAGGACCACCCGTCATAGGGTGCCTGCATCGTAGAGGGTATTGTGTTCTGTAAGCAAAGTAGAATCACAATGGCACAAAGGAAACATGAGATGTGAGAATCTAGAATTTCCATCCCAAATATTCAGACTATTTGTGCCTGACCTATAGTAGACTGATCAGCCACAGGGGAACACCCTGGACCCCGACATCGTGATGTCATCGGGCCTCTCGTAGTACGAGTATGAAGGTCGAACAACAAGAAAATGATAAGCTTCTGGAGGTCAGGGATTCACTATATCTGTCACATTTCTGGGCATGGACTAAATGTTTAATAAATACTTGTTTCCTTGAAATGAGTAATGGAAACGTACAACACAGGACATAATAACTGAATTTAAAAGCATTTTGTATAAACACGGTTTCAATAATGCATCTTCATCCATATCTGAGGGAAAGAATCAGAAAGGTTAAGGTTTCCAAGGTTACATTCATAGGCAGAGCAGGAATTCCCCCTTCCCCTACAGAACTCTCAGGTCGAAGTATGGGCTTGCTGTTCCCTGAAAACCACATATACTTGGGACTATTCTGTAATGAAATTTCAAATAAATGGATTTAAACCTTTGCATAGAAGAAAGTCCTTCCTCTTCTGGACAGCCTCACACCACTCGCTATTGTAAATGATAATAAGCATGTACTCATCTCTCCTCAGTGCTCTGTTTTACTTGTTCACTTGCCAAAATAATCCCTGAGTCACTCATGACAGAGTCACAGGTTTTGAGAGGAGATATCTTAGTGTCCACTGAGTCCAAAACATTCATGAAAGGGAGATCATTCCACTTAGGGGCAGCCCCAATCAGGAGGTTTTTCCTGACGTAAAACTAAACTTCCTCTTCACATCTTCTGCCTATTGCTTCTGATTCTTCCTCTGGGATCAGACCAAAGTCTAAGCCTTCCTTTGCATGACATCCCTTCAAATACTTGAAGTCAGCTATAA